AGAATTTTCTTATTTATAAGTAATATGGCATATTGACTAAATTTTTAGGGAATACTTGTTATAATAAACTTGATTTCTAGAAAGTAAAATCTGCCACTGTGTCTTTGGATCAGTAAATCATTATAGGTTGTGGAATTGGCAGTGTTTAAAGACAATTTAATACTGAACATTTTTAAATGAGTTAGAAGTCTGTAATTCTGAACACTGCCTGCCTCTTGATCTCTTGTTCTTCAGTGTTCTAGTTTGTTCTCCAGAATTCTGTCATCAAAAGCGTCTTTATACTTTCCCAGCATTTACTGCACCTACTGGCTGCCTAACTGTCAAAGAGGCTGGAACTCCTCCTTGGGTGCATATTCACTGTACCTAAAGGACCTTAGGAGCTACTGCAACTGGAAATAGCAGATGTGTGCACTCATCTCAGGACTCTCTGTTTCTCATGGAGGATCTTGATAGTGAACCATGGCTGTATTTATTACTAAAAATGGGCTGATATCCCAGACTGTAACCCAGCTAGCCATTCCTTCTTTATTGTACTAGCGTTTCAGCTGTAGTCTAATGGCTGTCTGTCGTTGCTTGTAGGCCCTAGTTTTATTAAGCCTACCTCTTTACTTGTGGACCTTAGGTTTAATTCAGTAAGAAGCCTCTTCAGGGAAGCCTTCATTAAACATTGTGAAAACTGAGGGTCTTTCCTCTGCTTCTAATGGTGCTTTTAAAGTTGCATTTATTTCCGTTTATACGGCACTGGCATGGAAGGAAACTGAAGTGGGTGGGAATGTAGAGTCAGAGTGGGAACATGATGGCTGTGAACACTTTGAAAGCTGAATTCAGTCACTTTCCCTAGGAGAAAAGGCTTCTGGATGACAAATATAAGATGCTTTTTGTCATAGAATCTATCCAAAGTAAGTTATGTAATCAAGACGCTGGCCTATGTAATTCTAGGTCACTTAATGTTTAACAGTCTGTTCTTCTGAGATAGTAAAAACAGGCAGTTGTGTGTGTGTGTGTGTGTGTGTGTGTGTGTGTGTGTGTGTGTCATGTGTTCAGTGTGTTTGCATGTGGATGGAGTTGTGTATAGGGTAGGTACCTCAATCACTCTACTATATTTTTTAAGACAGTAGCTCAATGAACCTAGGGCTCACTGATCCAGGGATGCCAAGGATTCTGCCTCTGCCCCTCCAGCGCTGGTATTAATCGTGGCACTTGCCTCTGTGCCAGCTTTCATGTGGATGCTGGGAATAGAGCTCAGGCTCGTGCTTGCACGCGTGGCACCTGTTTATTTCATTTTAGAGCCTTGGGCCCTTATTTAGAAAGCTTTATGGGTTTGGTTTTGTTTCTTAAGATTTATTTTTAATTATGTGTATGTGCACCAGTACAGTTAGTTGTCTGTGAAGGATAGAAATGGGCGTTATATCTCCTGGAGCTGGAGTTACCAGAGGTTGTGCAGAAGCAGTCCATACCGAACTGTTTTCATGCTGAGCCATTTCTTTGGACTCAAAACTTCATATTGCTAATTAGGGACCTCTTAGGCATACATGTTGAACTATTTTATACATAATAATTCAATGAAGTGGACATTATTTTTCCCCATTTTATGATGAGGAAATTGAAACATAGGAAAAGTTAGGTAGCTTGTCCGGGGTCCTGGCGCTAGCTGACGGCTGACTTCAGACACAGAAATCTAAAATATAGACTGTGTACTAAGCCGACATACCGGTTCTGCTGAATAAGGCTAGTGCTTTACTCATGGAGTCTTTACACCTATGCATGTCTTTGTTGTCGGTAAGCAGTAAGTCTTTGGGGGCCAAGTATAAATGTGGCTGTGGAAGACTAAATGTTGACAGATGTGAGCCTAGGAAATGGTTGGCCTCCTTGCAAGTAGATTTAGGCCTTCCAGATTTTAGCAGTCAAAGAAGCAAAATGACATCTTTGGTGGTGAGGGAAGGCATACTTCCTGGAGAAAGCATGGGGAACAGTTTTCAGATGTGTGTTCAGGAAGATGATGTCTAAGGCATGCGATATCTACTCTTTAAAGAGCTTTTGTTTTTTTCCATCTCATTCCATCTGGAACTTGGGTGTTCTTTCCTGAGCACTCTAACCCTCTTACACGGGCATTCATTCATATATAGTGCTAGAGTATCTTTATGAGTTGAAAAAGTGCCAAGTGGTGAGAATACAAACGTGAATAAGTTGGACTCTGAGGAGAGGGTCTTTGTTCAGTGAACCGTTTGTGTGACTGTTAAGATTTGCAGCAGTTTTTATGTACTAGTCTCTACTAAGATTAGACTTCGGTGGTAAGCAGTTGATCTGCAACATACTGTAACTGCGGCTTCCTTTGCTGGCTACAGTTGGGGATGACTGGAAGCGTGGATTCATCTGTGGTCTTGTGTGACACTCTAGGTTGTTCCAGTTCTGGTGCATCTCTTGTCTGCCATCAGCACCGTCAGGCTCTACATCCCCAAAGACCTTCGGCCTGTGGACAACAGACAGAGTGTTCTCAAGTCCATACAGGTGCGTATGTTCCTTTAGAACCTAAATATAAATCTCACATGCATAGGATTTACCTAGAAATAACTGAAATGCTTTTAAATATATTTCAGAGAAACTGTTAACACATAATAATGGGTTTTCTTCATAAAAGGAATCATAGCAGATCTGTTCTGAGCACAGCATCGATGTGTATTACCAAAGGAAGACTCATAATCTGCACCATTAATCTTCACTGTGCTATAATAAACAGGATTTTCTATTCATTAAGACACATTATTTTCAAAGGGGCAGAGGTGGCACACACCTGTAATCTCAGCACTCAAGAGGCAGAGCCAGGAGGATTTCTGTCAGTTCGAAGCCAGCCTAGTCTACAGAGCGAGTTTCAGGACAGCCAGGGCTACATAGAGAAACCCTGTCTAAAATAATAATAATTATTAATTAATTAATTAATTAAAAATAAAGCGCTTTATTTTCAGTAGGAAAAATATAATTTTTCAAATTTAATTTTCTGCTAGAAATAAATGAAAGGTTGGCTAAAAACATTTGAGTAGCATTTACTATACCTTATTATACAGAGAAGGCTCTCTAGAATTTGAGAAAGCAATGGTAAATAGATTGCTTTCATTTTAGAGTAGGAATCTTTTCAAAGATTTATTTTATCTGTTTATTTTGTCTGCATATATGCGAACATGCCTGGTGCCTGTGAAGGTCAGAGAGAGGGATTTGAGTCCCGTGGAACTGGGTGGTTGTGAGCCACCATGTGGCTGTTAGGAATGGAACCTGGGTCTTCAGCAACAAATGCTCTAACTGCCAAGCCATCTCTCCAACCTTCGAGTACAAACTTTTAAGTTGTGTTCCATAGGCTTTCTAAAATGAGTGCTCTTCTTGAGAATTTTTTTTTTAATTATGGAGATGTAATGTTCTAAGAAAATACTCCTAAAGAAAAAACACTAATGAACCAATCTGTTAGCAAATAAATAAATCTTGGAAGTAAAATGAAATACAGCATTCCAATTAATTGTATTCTAATAATTCAAAAAAATACCATAACTGTAAACAGAAAACTACTTGATTATTTTTGTTAGTATAAATACTGCTGTTGTCTGGAGGGGAAATGATTACCTTGTCCTTCAGAAAAAAGTCAGCTTATGTTTTTCTGTTTAAACTTAAATTGGAATGATTTTTTTTAGGGAGGTAAATTGCCAGCTCCCATGCTTGTCTTACTTGCTGAACCTCCTGGTATAGGCCATGCTCCGCTCTGACCTTAGCTTCAGCAGGACCCTCACTTAGTCTCAGGTTTCCTGTCCCCACTGGATGGGCTGGTTCCCTTGGTCTTCTCAGTCCTGTTCAAAAGGCAGGAGGAGCTGCAGATGAGCGTGCTAGAAGAACCCCTTCACATGAGGACTAAAGAGCCCTCTATGCCTCTTACTGTACATTTTAGCCAGGCATGGTGGCACATACCTTTAATTCCAGCACTTGGGAGACAGAGGGAGGCTAGCCTGGTCTACAGATCAAGTTCCAAGACAGCCAGGGATGCACAGAACAACTCTGTCTTGAAAAACAAAAATTAGTATTTCTGTGTCTTTATGCTTTAACCTATAATTCAATTTCTTAATATATAAGGATAGGTCAAGTTCATGAATTAAATATATGAGTGTAATGTCCCGCCCTCCCTTTTGAACAACCCTGTCTGGTAATTGCTGTATGCACAAAGCAGCCAGTTTCTTGAAACAACTTGTATTATTAGCTTATTTCTGATAGTAATATTCAAATATCTCTGAACTTTTTGCATTTTTTGGTTTTATTCTTTGTGTGTGTGTTGGGGGGTAGATTGTGGTGAACTTTATTGATGATATTCTAGAGAGCAGGGCTCCCTAAGCCCCTCCCCTTGTTCTAAGGACCTGGGGTAGAAACTGAGGAGAGATGCACAGTTGAGGGCTGATTAGGGGCAGGGACTTCTCAGAAGCCAAGGGCCTCTCTCTCTCTTCCTCTTGGACAGGGACTCCTTAGCAGTTGAAGGGCTCTCTCTTCCTCTCTGCTCTTGCTGGGTGGGTGGGTGGTCCAGTGTCTTACTCCTTGGAGGTCATACAGGCCTTGAGGCCACCACCGTTTCTATAGCCCTGTTTGTTGTCATGTAAGGAAACAAGCTTTGCAGAGTTCTAGTTGAGAGCAGTGCCAGCCCCAGCATCAAAGGTGGAAGAGTAGGCATCACTGTTACCATTTCAGGAGATGACCTGGTCCTCATCATAGCCCAGGATGCCCGTTAGTGGGCCCTTCAATGCCTGCTTCACCACCTCCTTGGTGTCATCATACCTGGCAGCGTTCTCCAGGTGGCATGTCAGAGCCACAGTGGGTATATTCCGGGTAGGAACACAGAGGCCATGCCTGTGAGCTTCCCACTCAGCTCTGGGATGACCTTGCCAGTCTTCTTAGTGGCAGTGATGGCAAGGATCACGGTCACGAGTCCTTCCAGGATGCCAAAGTTGTCATGATGACCCTGGTCAGGGGGTCTAAGTAGTTGTCAGTGCAGGAGGCATTGCTGACCAGTCTTGAGTGAGTTGTCAGACCTGTGGTGATTTATACCCATCACAAACATGGGGGAAATCAGCAAAAGGGGTCCAACATGATGATAACCCTTTTGCCTCAAGTGGGTTCTGGCCTACACCATGATGGTAAAGACACCAGCACACCCCGTAAAACACACTAGCATCACCCCATTTGGCATTGGCAGGATGTTGATCCTGGAAGATGGATATGGCCTTCCTATTGATTGCAAGTTTCCTATTATCAGGCCTTAATTGTGTGTGGAACATGGGTAGAGTTATACTGGAGTATGTAGACCATGTAGTTGAGGTCAACAAAGCGGTCATTGATAGCAGCAGTGTCTAACTTTGCCAGAGTTAAAGGTGGCCCCAGTGACCAGATGCTCAAGATGGCAAATCCATTCATTCCAACCATCACTATCGGGTCTCAGGGACGAGGCTAGCACTGCAGGAAAAGATGCAGCCATCTTTGGAACAGGGAGAGCAGAGAAAGCCGGGTTGGTTTCTGTGCTGCTTTTTCTAAGATAAGACCTCAGTCTGTTATCCAGGTTGGTCTCAGTCTCCTGAGCTCAAGAAATCTCATGCTTAGGCATCCCAAGTAGCTAGGACTACAAATGCACACCACACTTATCTAGTCTGTACTACTCTGTGTTTACCATACTTAGGGGGAAACCCAGGGCCTAGTCCATGTGGGATAGGTCCTAACTATTCAGAGTCTGACCTTTAAAGTCACCAACACTGAATTCTCCTAGTGGGTGGAATAACCAGCCCATAGTGCGCTATCCATTCTCTGAACTCATGATCTTCTCATGTAATCATGTGACAAAGAAGTTAGCTAAAAGAGTCTTTAAAAGTTTGATTTCTATCCATAATGCCCTGGCTAGAAATAACCCATGCCTCCAAATTATGTAAAAATGGAATTTTCCACATAAATGATGTGAAGTACAGTGACATAAGATGCCAAGATGTTACAACCACCTAAATATACAAGAGTGGGTCTACCAGTAATCATGCCACACCCAGAACTAGTGGATTACACTACAATGCTATATATATTAGTGGATTGTAACATATCCTGTTGGCAGTTAGATGTAGCATAGCAATTGAAAAGGAATTTTCAAGCTGTGGCAGAATATGTCTGTAATTCAGAACTCAGAAGGTCGAAGCAGGAGGATGGCATGGTTGAACCTTACCTATGCAGCAAAGACAAACCCTGTTTTATCCTGCCCTACTTCCCCAAAATAAGGAGTTTTCTAAAACAAATGCCACGGGGAATTCCTCTCCAGTTTAAGTGGGGAAAATATATGTAAAATCCTTTTATGGCCCACAGACATGGAAAAAAACAAAAAAGGGAAGTGTTTTAGTCTCCTCTTATTAACAGGTTTTTACGTCTTCTATTTCAGGAAGTTCAGAAGCGTTTTCCTGATGGCGTTCCTTTGTTAGATCCTATTGATGATATGGGCATTCAGGACCAAGGACTGAAAAAAGTCATTCAGAAAGTAGAAGCTTTTGAGCATCGGATGTATTCACACCCACTTCACAATGATCCAAATTTGGAAACCGTGTATACACTTTGTGAAAAAAAAGCACAGGTATGGCAGAAATAATCTTTCTTAAGATTATTTATTTGTATTTCATGTATGTCAGTTTTACCTGTATGTATTAGTTACGAGCTGCCATGTGGCAGTGAGGAACCAAACGTGTCTTCTGCAGGAGTAACAAGTCCTTATCACCAAGCCAAACTTCTCCAGCTCCCAGAAACAACTTTGACACTAGAATTCTGTGTATTTCATTAAATATGTTATTTCCTTGTCCTGTTTCTATCTTCTGAAATG